ATATAAATGTATGTACTACTATTGATAAAAGACTTATGCCTGTCTTTAAGTAACTATTAATAAAATAACAATAATAAGTAGCACATCCTGCTCTACACTCTAGAGATTCAACAACCAAAATGTCAATGATTTTTGCCTTCCCAGAATGCATGTTATTGGAAGATACCAGCAGTAAATAATTAAGTGTCTAATTTAAGGTTCTGCTAAGACTGGCAAAGGAGGAGGGCACAGCGTGAGGAGAGAAATGACAGGGAGGTAAAAGTGGAGTGTCTGGACATGAAGGTGATGTATGGACAAAACACCTCCTGAGAACCAGGCAGGAGACAGAGGTAGAGCAGGAGAGAAAGGGAGGCAGTTGAGCAAGGAGTGGACATCAGCAAAGTTATGCAGAGAGCAACTTTGCTTGACCACACAAAGGACACGGAGATGTGAGTTATACCTCAGGGTTGCCCCAGGCTATGGCCAATGAGCCAGACTCCCATGCACCCATGCCTGCCCATCAGCCTTGGCAAGAACCATCCAGGAGACCCAGACTCAAGTACTTCTGGCCCTCCTTGGTGTAGTTTGAGTGGACAAGAGGAATTTTCCACCACAGAGGGGCAGGGATTGGATACAGATGCCCATAAAGCCAGCCTGGGCACTTGGAACAGCTAAAGGGATCCTAGGGGATGTGGCAGCAGAGCTCCAACAGTGTCCATGACACCTGTCATGGTGGCCCAATAAGGACAAAATGCCAGCAAAGGGTTCCTGGAGGAGGTAACATTTTAACTGAGTAAGAGTGGCTGGGCAGAGAGCAGGAGTCACTTAGATGAGTACAGTGCATGCGAGTGACCGACAACAGGGGACCCTGAAGGACTATGGCCTCATATGCACTATCAGCAGCCTAACCTCTCTGTAGAAGCTGTTAGCCTCTGCACCAGCTTGCTGGGTTAACAGCTGCCATGGGTGCCACGTGCAGCGACAGAAGGGTTCTTACCGGAAGCACTTGACAACCTCCGAGCTGAGTGACTCAGCCTTTCAGTGGCCAGTTCTGTTGTTCATTACCATAGCTCCCCACACAGAGCACTTGTGCACCACACTGTAACCAATGGCTCAAGAAGATTTCCCCAACTCTGAAAGCCTAATGCCACTGGCCACATTGGTGTGGTGCAGAAGTTTGGAAGACCACACTCCCAAGTGTGTTCCTACCACCTCCTACAGAAATGAGATCCAAGACGGAAGTTTCAATAGAAATTCAATCTTTATCTATCTAGACTAGTACATCTCAACTAGGGGCCATAAGCAGAAAAGGCACTGCATTGGTCAAATAATTGATCAGTCTACTCATGGAAGGATCTAGGTATTCTATTGATGTCATCTGCAATGATGATCTGTGTGTGTGTGTGTGTGTTCTCCTCCTCCCTCTTTGCCTTATTCTCAAGGGCCCTGTTTCCACATGGAGGCTCTCAGGAGCACACATCTGCATCTGCTGGGTTGACAGCTCAGGGACAGAAGAGCTGCCCTTGGCTGACACTGTAGTTGTATTAGGGCCTAGCAAGGGGGACTCGACCACCCCTGGACCAGCTGTTGCTGCCAGGGAATGTGGAGCCATCATGGATGAGGCCTGAACCACACGTGTGTATCACGAGTTGGAGAAGTCAACCCATCCAGAGCCACAGGAGAGAGTGGCTCCCAAGGGAAATGGGCAGCACTGTGTGTAACTACACTGGCTCCTCACACTTGCCCTGGAACAAAGATGGCACAATAACCCACGGCCCAGGTGTGGCAATTCCACCACTGCAAAGGCCATGGGAGTGTGGTTGGAGCCAATGCCCTAGTCATCTCCCAGCTCTGCAACTGTTCCTGGGCACTTATGCTTTGGCTTCTTCACCTACAACACAAGCAGGTTTTGTTGTGGGGATCAAATAAGTTAATACATACAAAGGTCCTTAAGTCATACCTGGGATGGATGGAGAATGTGATGAACATTGGCTGTTATTTTTCAGAACTAAGTCAAGCTATTTATCTGCAGAAGGAGAAACTGAGGTCCATAAATGGAATCTGACTTTTTCCAGATTGCACTTGAAGATTTCTGCCCGCTCTAAATATCATGAGCCTCAGCAGTTTGGGGAGACACCCTAAAAGCCAGGACCTACCTGCTGGTGCTATGGATGTTACAAGCCAGCCTCTCCAGTGAAAAGCACCCCAGCCCTTGTGGCCTAGAGTGTACCCTTCCTCAGTTAGGGTGCACTGGGAGCCACTCTCTTTCCTTGGCTGCAGAAGGGCAAGGCACCCAGTTTCAAGGCTTACTTGTGCCCGCTATGGCTTTCTGGCAGCCTCCTCCTCTCTTTCTCAGAATCCCTGGAAACCTACCAGACCCACAACATTTATTACCTGCTTCTTCCATTTATGAGTTAGCTACAAAGAAAGAGAAGCTGTGTGCTCCTTTCAGGCAGTACTCGAGGCACAGAGAAGGAAAGGTTATGCTGTGTTTACTTTACTTAGTGCTGTTGGCTGCTACTTCACAATTGGTGCTCAACAGCAACCCAGTGATGTATCATTAACCAAAGAGTTTTTTCACATAAACACCACACAGCCACTATAATGACACAGGGCCCAGGCAGAGAGAGACAAAGAGAAATGCTAATTTAAAATTAAATTGCTATTTCCCTGCATGTCTGGGAGAATGAGAAAAGGATAATGGGAATAAGTGATAATAATTGTGATGGATGACTTCGTGATGGGGAGGAGAACTGGATCCCTTCTGCCTTCATAGTGAGGTTAAAGAAAGGAAGCTGTGATTGTGGTAAGAATGAGCACTCCCTCAGCACTCATGGCAGGCCTGGCACAAAGCATTATTTCATTCAATATCCACCACAATGCTATATTGACATAGATGTTTTTGGGATCTCCACTTGTTATGGCTTGAATTTATGTGTCCCCCACCCCCAGAGCTTCATATGGTCATAGGTGGGGAGTTTCAAAGGTGGCTGAATTAAGGTGTGTGAATGTGGATTAAGGGTGTGGTGCTGGGATGAATGGTGGCCCACCCTCGGTGTGAGCAACACCACTCAAAAGGCATGTAGCCTGGAAGGAATAAAAAGGGGGACAGGTCTGCTGCTTGCTACTTTCTGCCTTCCCTGCTCTGCCATAGACTGTTTCTCCTCTACGATGCCCCTCTGCCATGCCAGCCTGCCTTGGAGCCTGCCAACCATTCACTGAAACTTCTACAAACCTTGAGCTAAAATAAACTTTTCCTCCTTTAACTTATAAAATTGGGCATTTTGTCTCAGCAACAAGAAAACTAATTAAGACGTCACTTTATAGATTAGGATATGAGGCTGAGAAAGGTCAAGTAACTGGGGCAAAGTCATACTGGGTAAAAGTGAAGAGGCCAGGATTTGAAACCAGGCAGTCTGACCTCAGATCCCACAAATATAAAGTTCAGGCTAACTTACCTCCTAGATTTGTGCATGGAGACACAGCATTTGTCAGTTGCAGAGGTACTTTTGGAGCCAATCGGTTACACATCCTACAAATATTTACCAACTATCAGCTGTGAGCCACGATGAGGTGGAAGCTATGGAACTGCCTGGAACTTTTTCTTGCTCTTTGTAAGAACTGCTGATGCTTCTCTTGCCAGAGTGAGACCAGGATCTTTTGAAGGAAGGACCAATATAGGTCCTCTTCTGGATGCAGCACTTCCTTTCTGTTTACTGAGACCCAGTCAAACTCAGATCAGAATGCTCCATAGTGAAACTACTGAGACCTCCCTTTGTAATATAAACTACTTAGGAAGCTGAGGCAGGAGGATCAAAAGCTCAAGGCCAGCCTGACCATTTAGGGAGAACTTGTCTCAAAATAAAATTTTTTAAAAAGTTGGGGTGTAACTCAGCATGGGCTTGATCCCCCATATTGCAGAAAAAAATTCTCACCTCTCATGTGCCAGGTGCCACCTTGGGAAAGTGACACAACCACAACCCCTCTAAGCATTTTTCCTCTTAGTGTAAAATGGCGAAAATAATCACATCTACCATGCAGTGTTCTTGTAGGGGTTAAACAGAGATCTTTATCATTCAGCTACAGTTCTGCAGCTGCTTGCAGGAATTAGGCTGTGGACTGCTATCCTGTTGCTCTGAACTGTCAGCCTAGGTCTTCCATCACCAATGCGCCTGGCCTGAAGAATCCTGCAGCCACCCAGCTAATCTTTCTCACTGCAGCCTGTGCCCTCTGGTGGAACTGGAAACCACCTGCAGCCACCATGCACAAGGCTCTGCACAGCATTGACGCATAACGGCCATGATGGTCCTGAAACCCAAACTGCTTTCCCTATGAGGAATGTGAACAAGCAAGTGATTAATAGACATATGTGATAGAACTGACTTTCTCTTGGCTAAAAACTCCTCTCACTGATGGGCTGAGCCCTCCTGTGGTCACTTCTGACTGCCCTAATTCTCCATTAAATACAATAGTTGGCACAAACCCTGCCTAGAGCAATTACAGCCAACGTTTTTAGCACCAAGCTGAGCACTCCATAGATACGAATCTGAGCCACAGTTATCATCATGAGGTCATCACAGTCATCATTTCTACTTCACACATGAGGATACCGAGGCTCACAAAGCACCACTCACTTGCCCCCAAACCAAGCTCCTTGGAGGTAACAGAAACGGACTTCACGCTGAGTCTGCTGGCTGCAGATCCCAGGACCACAGCCATTCCACTGGAGGTGACTGACTGTGCTCACTAGGCTTCTAGCACCCACCGTCCTCCCACCCGGGAGTTGAGGCTCAGCCTCTCTCCCTGCCATGAGGAGCGCAGTCTGCCCTTTCTTGGTACCCAAAGCCAACACTTTTTTCTGAGATTGCTCTGTTACTCTCTTTCAATTGGAAAGACAGAGCCTTGCCCAGTTCAGGGTGAGAGGAAAGACGTTCCATAAGTATGCGGGCACACACATAACAGGAAGGCTCAGGGTTGAGGATGATTCAGTCAGAGAAGGATCCAGGCCCTGTGACACCTACCCTCTGACTCAGATTTCTCAGGTGCTGGCTTCATTCTAGGGTACAATTTCCTTTCCCTATGGTAGATGGCTACCAACAGCTCCAGGCCATGTCCTTGCAGCTTAGAGTTCCAGTTCAAACTGACTTTCTCTGTTCTATAATTCCTGCAAAGATTTCAGATTTCATGTCATTGTTCCATTTAAAGAGTCACATGACAACCTCTGAACCAATCATGTCCTGTGACCAGTAAGTCCAGTCATTTGATTGGGCAAACCTGGATCATATGACTGGGCCAGATGGGAAAGCCCTACCCAATGGGCCTAGAGGCCTGGCCCAAATACCTTAAAAGGCAAGGAAGAGCCATGAGGCTACTATTGCTCTTCACTCTCCCAACCAAAAGGCTCATCACATCAGAGCCTCTCTCCTCCAGCCCATTTCTTCTGACCTTTTTCTGTACCTGAGGAGCAGCCCAACACATGAAGACTTTTTATAATGGCAAGGATGATTTAAGGGAGGTAGGAGGAGGGATAGAGAGAGAGAAATGACTTTATTTCTTTCTGAAAAGTTTTGCAGCAGCCTCAGAGGTCTCGGGTTTATGGATACACATTAAAGAACCTTTTCATGAGAGCTGTTTTATGTGAGGAAGCCGTTTAAGCAAGGAGGCACTTGGCTGCTCCTTCTAAATGAAAATTTTCAATTAGTCTGAAGAAGTTAATTACACCATCCTTTAATAACTGTACTTGTGGTTCTGCAAATCCTCTATTAATTGATTCAACCATATGCCCCCAAACCAAGAATCAGCGGACAGGTAGAAAAAGACCAAAAAAGAAGACACAGGGAAGGAAAAGGGAAAGGTAAAGAAGTGCCATGTTGTCTGCTGGTTGGTAAGGTACAGAAGACAAGTCCAGGAGAATTACTGAAAATTGTGGTTGGTACGAGATCTGGGAGATTCAGTCTACAGATCAAAGAGGCTTTGCAAGCTGATTGCCACATACGCTGCTCCGCATCTCAAAATGAAAGCAGTTCTACGGCACTTGATCCAGACGATTAAAAAAGAGCCCCTAGATCCACATCCCCTGTCCCCAGGGTAGTTTGGAAAAATGCTATAAATAAAAGCAGTTTTCTGAGTTTTCTAGCATTCCTTAAAGGGAAAGTCAAAAGCCCAGAAATTCTAGTTCCAGCTCTGATGAAAGTGACTGCTCTGCCTTCTGGGAGCTCACAGCACCAGGGAATTTATGGTTTGGACCTGGGAAGTCCTCAAAGGGCTTCAAGGCCAAGTGTCCAAGGCTTGGTCCTCAGCTAATGGTGCCACGGGGAGGTGAGGAAAACTTCAAGAGGTGGCGTCTGGTGAGAAGAAGTAGATCATTGGGAAGGGGTGTCCCTGAAAATATATTGGGGTCCTGGTCTTTTGCTCCTCTTTCTTGTTGCTTCCTGAGCCCCATAAGGTAAGCAGCTTTCTTCTGGCACAAATGTCTGCCATGTGCTGTCTCTCCATGCTCCAAAGCAACCAGCCAAGGGACCATGGACTGAAACCTTGGAAATCATGAGCCAAAATACATCCTTCCTCTTTTAAGTTGATCTGTCTCATGTGTTTTCCCATAGCAATGGAAATCTCATACAGGGCATATAATGCAGGCATCATACTGGCCTGGCTTCAGATCCTGGCTTTGCTACTGCCTGGCCATGTGATCCTAGGCATTCCTCTCTTGAGTTTCAATTTCTTCACCTATTAAATGAGCAAATAAGTATATTGGATGCTTTATGAAAAGTACATGAGCTAATGCATTTGGTTCCAGAATATGGGATGTAAGATTCCATTAGTCAGTTGTCGTCCAACCAATCTTGCATAACAAACCACATCAAAGCTCAGATTCGCCAACACCAAGCACTTACATCGTACACATCTGCAGGGCAGAAGGAGCTCAGCTGGGCTCAGTTCAGGATGCAACTTGGGTCAGGTCCACCCGATGGGTCTTTCATCCTTGTTAGACCGGAAGCTTCTGAAGCATGTTGGGAAACATGGGAAAAGGAAATAACTCAATAGGACAACTCCAATCTTAGAAGAACATTGCAAGAGCTAGCACACATCTGCTGACTTTCCATCAGTCAAAGCAAGTCACACAGCCCAGACCAAAGCTGGATGCAGGGTAATATACCCACAGGGGTGGGAGAGAGGGAGTTATAGTTGTCAAATAGTTATCTACTCAACTGCAAACATTTCAGCTATATTTTATGAGTGCACAAGTGATTGCAAAGCAAGCTAGGGTATTATGAGTGTCACATGAGCGTGTTATAGACTGAATCATGTCCCGGCAAAGCTCATCTATTGATACCCTAATCCCCTATGTGGCTGTAGTTAGGGCCTTTAAAAAGGTATTTAAGGTTAAGTGCGATCCTAAAGGTGGAGCTATAATCCAACATGACTGGGGTCCTTCAAACACAATGGAGAGACACCAAGAATCCATGCACACAAAGAAAGGTCATGTGCACACACACTGAGAAGCAGCCACACAAAGAGTCCTCGGGAGAAACCAACCTTGCTAATACCTTGATTTTGGACCCTCAACTTCCAGCCTTATGAGAAAATCAATACCTGTTATCCAAGTCACCCATCGTGTGGTATTTTGTTGTGGCATCCCAAACTAGCCAACAGGTAGAGAAGGCAAATGCCGAAGGAAGAAGACGTTGCTTCGAAAGAGAAGGAACAAAACTTCATGCAGAAAACATTATCTGATCGTAACTTGGCAAAGAGAATGGGAGTGGTGGGGAAGATGGCATCCCAGGCATCAAAGACAGCCTTGGCCACTCTTTAAAAGAAGGGCAGTGAGACAAGAGCTAACTCTGTGCCAAGCCCTTGTTGGTAGGTATTTCCTTAGGGTCTCTGTGCTGGGGGTCTTACCTAACCCTCAAAACAACCCTGAGAAGCAGGGCCCCCAGTAACCCACACTTTAAGGAGGAAGAAATAGATTGGGAAGACAAAGGTTAAAATCCAAGGACATCATGCAACAAAACTATAATGTGCCAGTGATTTCTACTAACTAGAGGTTTCGGCTGAGGTCTAGAAAGCAAAGTTCATGCCTGAGAAGGACAATAAAGTGCTGCTACTGGTAGTGGAAGGAGAAGACAAATGCTGCCTGGGGACAGGAAGAACAGTGCAATAGCACAGGAAAGGGGAAGAAGGGAAGGAAGGAAGAGGGAAGGGGGAGGGGAGAAAGAGGAGGCAGAGGGGGGAGTGGCAGAGGGAGAGAGAAAGAGATTCGTCATTTTGTTCATCTGCCATAATAAAAGTGGCAGCTAATAGTTACCAGGCATGGAGCAAGTGTCTGGCACTGTTCAAAACATGTGTAAGGTTTGCCACTTTCTAATCCTCTGGCTGAATCTGCCCAAAGACCCTGAGGTGGGTTCTCAAAGGGGCCCCATTCTGCAGCTGAGAAAACTGGCTGATGCCAAGCTGGTAGGGAGCAGCTGAGTCCCCAGACCTGGATGTGGGGCTCACGCTCAGACTCCTGCACGTGCTGCGTAACTCAGGCCAAGATTTATCTTGCTGAAGACTTGCTGTGATCCAGCCACTCCTCCATTTACAAAACACCCTGGTCCTTGTTGTGTGAGACAAAGTCTGGGATCGGATTGTTGATCATAACCCAGGCTCCCTTCACGGTTAGGTTCAGTCTGTTTCCAGCTGACCCCTCCCACTTGCATTTCAGTCAAGCTGGGCTGCTGCCTGGCATGCACATTCATACACTCCCGTGTCACCCCCAACTCCAAATCGGGCTGGCCCCACCTCCTCTTTCCCAAATCCCACTCTTCCACAATTGTGGGGGCCACTCAATGGCCACTGCCTGTGTAGCTCCTTCTCTGGGGGCCCAAGTGGAAGGAATGATCTGGAACATGCACCTGCTGGCTTGTTCAGGCGTCTCTACTCCACTTGCTCCTCATCCTCTTTGATTCGTCATCAGTTACTTGAGGAATGGAGGAAGAGCTCCGTGCTAATATGGAGACAGAAAACACTGAGTCTGCTCTCAGAGACTTCTCCACCCAGTAGGGCTCACGGGTGGTGGGAGATGGGAGAACACACCCTGGGGAACTTCAGGACTGTCTCGGTAACAGAAACTGCACAAGCCTTGCTCAAGTTTTGTAGGGCAGACAGGGCTCAGTGAGTAGCACTGAGAGGTGAATCATACAAAGTTGGCCCTTTATTTACTCCTCTCTGGCGTCACTGAAAAGGGTCCAAATGCAGTTTACATTCCCTTTATTCTCCCACCCACCCCAAAGGAAGGAGGCAGAACCGATGGGGAATGAATCTAAGGTCTCCTGGAGAAGGAGAAGAGCAGAAGGACAGAGAAAAATCCAAGGCTGGCCCATCCTGTCCCTGGAAAGTGTTGGGGGAGTGGATTCTGCCAGGTGCCAGAGACAGAGGGAGGAGAGGAATGATGAGCGGGAGGAAAAAACATTCTGGAAGTTCTTGCCATGAACCACACATTAAAACCCCACCGAGGCATTCTACGAAACTTTCTTAATTCCATCTGGACGGTGCCTCTGGAATTCCGGGAGCCACGGAGGGACCCAGGGCTGATTTGGTTTGCTTTCTAACTCAGGAAGCCTACCAGGAATTCAGAGTGACTGCCCTGAGGTGACCCAGCAGGAAGCCAAGGAAGCTCTCGGTGAGGCTGAGTAGACGCCGAACCTGGGCTCCGGGCAGCCGCCTGGGGTCCCATGGTGTGGGCACCAAACTGCTTCTGAGGCGGGATTCCGTGGCCATTCGGGGCTGTCCCTCCCAGCAGCTTCGTGCACCAGCCCAGCTCTCGCCACCCAGCGTCCCCCGTCCCGAGGACGCGCCAGCTCCCGGAGGCCGGGGCTGCTCTGCTGCCCACAGTGTGTCCCTCCCGACACAGTCAGGGCCCGGCAGCCCTCCGGGGAGCTGGCGCCTCCTTCCCACTCCCTGACTCCGTCTGTACGCAGCGGACTCTCCCCAGGCCTGGCCTCAGAGCTTCTGGACTGGTCAACAGAGGCCTAGTGTGAAGTGGGCCTGTGGTTTCTAATTAGCATAGCGTGCTGAGTGGAACCCCAGAATCTAGCCACACGAAACGCGGGCTGGAGGAATGCCACAGGCAGCCCCCGACAGCCGCGCAGGACTTCCATGGCCTGGTATGG